CGGGGTGGGGCTGCACGAGGGGGCGGGGCTCCGCGGAGGGGCGGGGCTCACCTGTAGATCTTCCTCTGTGACAGGTCAGACCAGTAGATCCTGTTGCGGGCCACCTCCGTGTCCAGCGCCACCACGTTTTTCAGGTTGGGGATGAGGCTGGCGTACTCACGGCGGTCCAGCGTCATCTTCCTCACCTCGTGGCGGTTGGTGAACAAGAGGTATGCGATGGGGCCTGGGGAGCCAGGAAGGGTGGTCAGGGGGTGGAAGTGACATCGGGCGGAGTTGAGAGTACGGCCTGCCACCACGTGTCACCAGGGAGACAGCTCCCTGGGCATTAGCCATGAGAAAGGGCTTGAACGTTTCCCTCAAGTTCATGTGTCGGAAGATCAACCCCAGTGCAACCGTGTTAAGAGGGGAGACTTTGGGGACCAGCAGTTAGCGTAATGGCTATATGTCACTGGACTTCCATGTAGCCGACCATGGTTCAAGACCCAGACCCGGTGGCTTAAAATCACGCCGGGCACGTGTGCATGCGTACCCAAGATCCGGAGAGGAGAATGGAGAAGAGATTGTGGCATGGCCGTCCCCCCTGGGGGGGGATTTCTCGCTTTCTGTCTCTGTCTTTCTGGTGAGTGCACACGCCCAATAGCAAAAACCTCTCCAAAAAAGAAAAAAATTTAAAAAGAGGGGAGACTTTGTTATTACGTATTGGAAGCGGTAGGACAGAGACAAAGGAAGCAAGTGAGAAAGCACCGCCCCTATGAGAATGCTCACACCACAATCCCTCCTCCTCCACCGCTTCCTCTTCTTGGGATTTTGGGCACACGTGCACATGGGCCTGGCATGTTTCTCAAGCCACTGGGTCTCAGATTTAAACTGTGTGATTGGCCGTGTGGGATCCACCGGGTCCAGGACTCGAACCATGGTCCACTACGTGGGAGTCCTGCCACATGGCCATTATGCCATCATCTGTAGATCCCTTTAATGTAATCTTTCAAAAAACATTGATGTATTTATTCACTCATCTATTAGTTTGTCGTGCTTTGCAAGCTGCTGGGTCTGGGGCTCAGGTGACAATCGGCCTGTGGGAAGCCAACACCTTAACCACCATGCCATCTACTGGCTTGGGATCCAGACACCGAAACCTCCCCAGCCAGCCGGGGATTAGGGCCACACACTGGCCCAGCATTCACAAGGCGGTCTCGGGGTACGGACTCCCCTTGGGGATCAGCCTCACAGCATCTTCGGTTTTCCTGCTGTCTGGACCTGATTCAGACTTAGAGCATCATTGGAGTTAGGACATAATCTTCAGATCAGAAAAGAAATTCAAGGGGCTGGCAGGTGGCATGGTGGCTAAGGGCACTGGACTCCGACATGGCTGACCATGGTTTAAGTCCCAGACCTGGCGACTTGCTTTCTCACTTTCTCTCTCTCTCTCTTACTCTGTCCCTCTCTGCTCAAATTAAAATAAATAAAGTTAAGTAAAATAAATGAATTCTTAAACAAAATAATAAATAGGGGCTTGCAGGTGACGTGGTAGTTTAGGGCGCTGGACTCTCACATGGCTGACCAGGGCTTGAGTCCCAGACCTGGTGGACTGATTTCTCACTCCCGTTCTCTCTTTCTCTTTCTTGCTCTGTCCCTCTCTGGTCAAACTTAAATAAACAAACAAATAAATAAATAAATAAATAATAAAGTTAAAGAAAGGAATTCTTTGGGAACCAGCAGTTAGTGTAATGGCTATGTCGCTGGACTCCTACATAGTCGACCGCGGTTCGCGTCCCAGACCCAGTGGCTTAAAACTCATGCCGGGCGCGTGTGCGTGTGTGCCCAAGATCCCGAGAGGAGAATGGAGGAGAAGGGATTGCGGCGTGACCATCCCCTCTGGGGGGTGATTTCTCGTTTTCTGTCTCTCTGTCTTTCTCTGTCTGTCTGGCGAGCACACGCGTCCTATAGCAAAAAAATCTCTCCAAAAAAAAAAAGAAAGGAATTCTTTTAAAAATAACTAACTAGCTGGAGGGGGTGGATGTCAGGCAATGGTGTTCCACCTCATGCCACAAACCAGCTCCGGGGGCATCCGCTGGTGACTGCCAGGCAGAAAAACAAGTGCTTCCTGGCAGCCCAGGAACTAAGCAGGTTTTCCCTGAGATGTCCAGGGATCCACCGTCAGGTGCATTCGCTCTGGGCACACAGCCAGTGACGCAACCCCACCATGTTTGCCCGCGAGGGGTGAGGCCAGCCCCTGCCGCCAGCCCGCACTCACCCACAGATTTGCAGGTCTTGGTGAGCAGGTCCAGCTGGAAGCCCTCGTCGCATTCGCACTTGAAGCTGCCCTCCAGGTTCACACAGAGCTGGCTGCAGGTGTCGGGCTCCTGGCATTCATCAATATCTGCGAATCGAATTCGAGAAAGAGGTTTGGAGTCTTCATGCCAAGTTTGAATCCTCACAGTCCCATGAAGCAGGATTCAATATGTTCATTTATTTACTTTTTTTTTTTGAGAGAGAGATTTTTGCTATAGGGCACATGTGTTCATCAGAAAGACAGAAAGAGACAGAAGGCGAGAAATCACCCCCCAGAGGGGATGGCCACGCCGTAATCCCTTCTCCATTCTCTTCTTGGGATCTTGGGCACCCATGCACACATGCCTGGTGTGAGTTTAAGCTACCGGGTCGGGGACTTGAACTGTGGTCAACTACATGGGAGTCCAGTGACATAGCCATTATGTCATCTGCTGGTTCCACATTTATTTACTTTTTAAAAAAAGTTATGTGGAGGCCAGCAGGTGGCATAGTGGTTAAGGCGCTAGACTCCCACATGGCCAACCACGGTTCAAGTCTGGGACTTGGCAGCTTGATTTCTCACTTTCTCACTCTCAGGTGAGTACACTTGCCCTATAGCAAATTAAGAAAACGATTATAATCACAATAAATAACAATTTTTTTTTAAATGATGTATTTGGGGGTCAGCAGGTAGCATGGAGGTGGTTCTGGCCTCTCACATGGCTGACCACAGTTCTAGTCCTAGACCTGGAGGCTTGTTTTCTCACTTTCTCTCCCTTCTCTGTCTCTGGTGAGGGCACATGCCCCGTAGCAAATTAAAATAAAAAATAATAATGACAAATAAAATTAAATTTTTTAAAAAGGAAAAACTTTAGGGGCTGGCAGGTGGCATGGTGGTTAAGGGTGCTAGGTTTATGATAGGTCGTGTGTGCTCGCTGGACAGGCAGAAAGAGAAAGCAAGAAATCACCCCCTATGGGAGTGGCCATGCCATAGTCCCTTCTCTTCCATTCTCTTCTCGGGATCTTGGGCACGCACGCACATGCACCCGGCATGAGTTTAAGCCACCAGGACTTCAACTGCAGTCAACTACATGGGAGTCCAGCGACATAACCATTATGCAATCTGCTGGTCCCTGCCCCTGGTGCATGTGTGTGTGTGTGTGTGTGTGTGTGTTTTAAATAATTTTTTATTTTATTTAGTAATATTATTTTCAATCTGACAAGAGAGCTAGGGAGTGAGAGAGAGAAAGTAGGAAAGCAAGCTACCAGGTCTGGGACTCAAACCGTGGTCAGTCATGTGGGAGTCCATCACCTTAACCACCACTCCACCTGCCGGCCCCTGCACGTGGTGTGTTTTTCAAGGCACTGGGTTTAGGACTTGAACCACAAACTGGCCATGCGGGATCTTGCCACGTGGGCCAGCTAGTCCAAGATGTCTTCATTACTGATCCCTGAAGACAAGATCCAGCAGCGAAGCCAGCGCTCCTCACAGGTCAGGCCTGTGGCACAAGGTCCTGACAGCTGGCCTCTCGTCGGACCCTGCTAACAGCCCTGTGGGGTGCACATGCGTCATGCCCACTTAACGGATGGGAAACCAGAGCACAGAGCCGGGTAGCCGTGTCCGGAAACGGCCTGCTCGGGTCTCACCTTCACATTTCCGCTGGTCCACCAGCCTGAAGCCGTCGGGGCACAAGCACTCGTGGCCAATCTTGAGGTCGTTGCAGACATGGGAGCAGCCTCCGTTGTTGTCCAAGCACTCGTTGGTCCCTGCGCCAGAAGGAGGGCACACCCGTTACTCGGAGGCCTCCAGCCATCCCTCCCTGCCAGCCGGTGCTGTTCCGCCATCTTTATCAGAGTGGTAATGACCCCATAAGAGGACTTCAGTTATGTCGCTTGCTATGATGTAGATAAGACCCTGATGGCATTACGGCAAGGGATTTAAGCCAGGCACAAAATGACAGAATATGAGGGACTTCAAAAAGCTCACAAAAGGGAGCCAGCAGGTGGTGTGGTGGTTAAGGCGTTGGACTTCCACATGGCCAACTGTGGTTCGAGTCCCGGATCTAGCAGTATTGCTTTCTCACTTTCTCTCTCTCTCTCTGGTCAAATTAAAATAAACAAAGCTAAAGAAAATCATTCTTTTTTTTAAAAAAAATAATTATTTGTTTAATTCCATTTGTTATGATTATTTCTTTAATTTGAACAGAGAGAGACAGAGAAAAAGGGAAAGTAAGAAAGCAAGCCACTAAGTCCAGTATTCAAACCACAGTTGGCCATGTGGGAATTTAGCACCTTTAACCACCATGCCGTCTGCTGGTCCCCTCAATAAAATAATTCTTTTATAAAGGCTCACCGCACTCCTTCAGGGGCTCGTCCGACCAGTCCCGGCAGTCCCGGACCGCGTTGCACACTTTGTCCAGTGTGATGCACTCGCCGCTGTGGCATTTGAACTTGTTGGGCCCCTCGCACCGCGTCACTAGGAGAGTCAGAGGGAGGAGGGTCAGGTGCTTCTGAGCTGCAAGAGCTGGCTTCACACTCTAATATAATAAGTTCATATAAGACCATATGTAAATTGGGGCCAGCAGGTGGTGTGGTGGTTAAGTCGCTGGGCTCCCACATGACTGACCACGGTTCAAGTCCCGGACCTGGTGGCTTGCTTTCTCACTTTCTCTCTAGTCAAATTAAAATAAATGAATGAATATATAAAATTAAAATAAGTAATTCTTAATAAAAACAAACAAACAAACAAAAAAACCAGAATGTGTGCAAATGTCCTCCTTCTAAATATGATGTTTACTGAACACACGAGAACCCAACACCAGCTTAAGAATTAGAAGGTGGGGCCCCGATGGGACCAGCAGCTTGCGTGGTGGTTAAGGCGCTGGACACTCCCACATGGGTGACCATAGTTCCAGTCCCAGACCTGGTGGCTTGCTTTCTCATTCTCTCTCTCTCTCTCTCTGGTCAAATTTAAATAAATGAATGAATAAATAAAATAAAAAGAAGGGGCCAACAGGTGGTGTGGTGGTTAAAGGCGCTGGACTCCCACATGGCTGAATATAGTTTGAGACCCAGACCTGGTGGCTTGCTTTCTCACTTTCCCTCTCTCTCTCACTCTGTCCCTCTCTGGTCAAATTAAAATAAATGAGTAAATAAACAAAGTTAAATAAAAAATAATTATTTTTACTTCTTCTTTTTAGCAATTATTTTATTAAACTTTATTTTAATTTGAGAAGGACAGAATGAGAGAGACAAAGAGAAAGTGAGAAAGCAAGCTGCTGAGTCCAGGACTTGAACCTCAGTTGGCCACGTGGGAGTCCAGCAACCTTGACTACCACACCACCTGCTGGCCCCTAAAAAATAATTGTTAAAACATGTTACAAAAAAAAAAAAAAAAAAGATAAAAAGAATTAGAAGGTTATCTAGAACCCAAGTTAGCCTGCAATTTGTTTATATAAATAAAGTTTTATTGGTACACAGATATGCACATGCCCATTCATTCACATGAATTCTGCAAGACACAGTTGAGTAGTTCCCACAGATAAACTGGGGCCTATGCAAAGGAAAAAACTACCTGGCCCTTTATTTTTACTTATGTATTTGTTTTTGGGTTTTTTTTGCCATAGGGTGTTGTGTGCTCCCTAGAGAGATACAGTGAGTGGGAAAGTGAGAAACGATCCACCAGGGGGATGGCCACGCTGCCCAGGGGCTGGGATGGCCCATCTCCTTCATTCTCCTCTTGGGGCTTTGGGCACACTCATGCACACGCATGTGCCCAGTGTGACTCTCGAGCTGCCAGGTCTGTCATGTGATAGTCCAGCAGCCCCACCACTAAGCCACCTGCCAGACCAGTACCTGGCCCTTTATGGTGAAAGCCTATTGACCTCTAACATATCCAGCCGCCCTCCCCGCCACACCACGGGCTACCTGGGGCAAGCGCTTCCTTACCATGGGATTGGACTGTGCACGTGACACCTGGCTCAGTCTTGAGCTCTGCATGCAGAAACCTGATTAAATCGCACAGTCCTGGGGCTGGCAGGCGGCGTGGTGGTTAAGGCACTGGACTCCCATGTAGCCAACTGCAGTTCAAGTCCTGCAGCCGACAGCTTGCTTTCTCACTTTTCCCTTTTCTCTCTTCCTCTCTCTCTTATGAGTACACATGCCCGATAGCAAATTAAGAAATAATAATGAGGAGCCGGCAGGTGGCGTGGTGGTTAAGGCACTGGACTCCCACATGGCCAACCGCAATTCAAGTCCAAGACCTGGCACCTTGCTTTCTCACTTTCCCTTTCTCATTCTCTCTGGCCAAATTAAAAAATAAACAATAACAATACATAAAACTAAAGAAACATTTAAAGAAATATTTATTTAATTTTATTTATTCATTCATTTATTTGAATTTGATCAGAGAGAGGCACAGAGAAAGTGGGAAAGCAAGCCACCAGGTCTGGGACTCGAACCATGGTTGGCCATGTGGAGTATCCAGCATCTTAATCAA